ACCAGATTGACCAATCTCCATAGGATAAGATCTAGTAGTAATCATCATCATCATCAATGGAGACATAACTATAACTTGAAGCAGCTTTTCATTCCAAGCTCATGTCCAAACCTCTCTGTTTCTAACTCTCAACAGCTTCCTTTGAACCAAAGTGTTGCGGCGATAGTGTTTGGAGGAGGATCAGACTCTGAGCTTTATCCACTGACCAAAACAAGATCCAAAGGAGCAATTCCAATCGCCGCAAATTACAGACTTATCGATGCAGTCATCAGTAATTGCATCAACAGTGACATTACCAAGATCTATGCAATCACTCAGTTTAATTCCACTTCTCTTAACTCACATCTCTCTAGAGCTTACAGTGGATTCGGACTCGGAAAAGATAGATTCGTTGAAGTCATCGCCGCTTATCAGAGCCTTGAAGATCAAGGATGGTTTCAGGTTTAGTAAAACTATTAGATTTAAATCATTTTAATCCCCTGTGTTTAGATTTGTTGCGTGTTATTGAAGCAATCTTTGTATCATCTGTGTGGTACAAAAGGGAACTGCTGATGCGATCAGAAGGTGCTTGTGGCTGTTTGAAGAGTTTCCAGTGACAGAGTTCTTGGTTCTTCCTGGACATCATCTTTATAAAATGGATTACAAGACGATAATCGAAGATCATAGGAGAAGCAGAGCGGATATCACCATTGTTGGACTAAGCTCCTCTGTTATAGACCATGACTCTGGTTTCGGTTTCATGGAAGTTGATTCCACGAATCTTGTTACTAAATTCACAATCAAACCTGAAAAGGGTCAACAAGATTTGATCTCCGTGAGTTCGATATCTCTATAATGTTCTGTATCATTCAGGAATCAGAATCATCTGGTGACTAATGTTATAATGCAGGTAGAGAGCATAACAAGAAGAAGTGATGGAACTTCTTCTTGCTGTGTACCAAGCACAGGGATGTACGTGATCGGTCGAGAACAGATGGTTAAGCTTCTGAGAGAGCGTTTGGTTAAGGCGAAAGACTTGGCCGGCGAAATCATTCCCGGTGCGATCTCTGAAGGAATGAAGGTAAATATTATGGACCTATGATTCTATAAGAGAGATAAGAAGCAATGCATAGGCTAGATTTGTCTGATTCTCTGTTTTTCAGGTGAAAGCTCATATGTTTGATGGGTATTGGGAAGATGTGAGGAGCATTGGAGCTTATTATAGAGCTAACATGGAGGGTATTAAGAGGTGTAAATTGGGAGGGTTCAAGCAATGTAAAGCTTTGTGAGACCTAATGATACAAAATGAGATAACTTGTGATTGAAGTTTCTTTGTGTAGTTGCAGATTCTACGACAGGCATTGTCCTCTGTACACAATGCCTCGGTGTTTACCTCCAAGCTCCATGAGTGAAGCTTTGATAACCGACAGTATTATCGGAGACGGTTGCATTCTCGATGTAATTTGCAAATCTCTCCTTGAAAACCCTAGCAAGCTATTCTTGATCAAAGGCTCATATAAGAGTTTTCATCTTCTTATTGTATGTGATGGGGTTAATCAAGCAGAGATGTGTCATAAGAGGATCGGTGGTTGGAATGAGAACAAGAATCGCTGATGAAGTGATTGTAGAAGATTCAATCATCATTGGTTCTGATATCTATGAGGTAAACAAACCGAGTTTCTTGGACCGGAAACCAGACATCTTGATCCCATATTCATAATGTCTAGTGTTTGTGTTTACAGAGT